GTAGCAGGAGTAGTAGTAGTAGTAGTAGTAGTAGTAGTAGTAGTAGTATTTTTGTAGTAGTAGTAGTCGTAGTAGTAGTAGTAGTAGTAGTAGTAGTAGTAGTAGTAGTACTAGTAGTAGTAGTACTAGTAGTACTAGTAGTAGTAGTAGTAGTAGTAGTAGCAGTAGAGGTAGTAGTAGTAGTAGTAGTAGTAGTAATGGTAGTACTGGTAGTAGTAGTAATAGTCGTCGTAGTGGCAGTGGTAGTGCCAGTGCCAGCGCCAGTGCCAGTGCAGTAGCAGTAGGAGACGACGTCGTGGTGCTGGGTAGCGTTCGCGGTCGTGGTAGTGCTCGTGGTCGTCGTCTTCGTCGTCGCTGTCTATCCCCGTCGTTCCCGGAGTCGGCGTGGGAGTAGGATCAGTCAGCAGAATCTAATCATTAGTATTGCACGACATTGTTGTTATGCTCTTGTTTCAGAAGCCAAGGAAAGCCTCGGAATGGCAAGTGGCGCTTTCGTTGCTTGAGGAGCTGGAGGACTCTGCTCACCGACTTCGGTGTATGTGCAACAACAAATATGGGAGGTTCTCAGACAAAGTCGAAGTAATGGGGTGATATCGATGCTTGGAAGCAAGATTCCAAAGCTGCAGCTGCTCCACATCCATAGATTTCATATTGTTGGCTGGGGCCTGCTCCTTAAACTGCATGGGGCCATGATTCCTTGATGTTACGAACAGCTCTTCACCTCGTAGAATACACCTACACCCCTAAGGCGCACAACCAGGAAGCCACCGTCCTGCAAGCCTTCCGAGTTGCAGACGGACGGGGCGTTCATGGAAATGCAGGCGGAACCAAAAAAATGAACCGATGCCAGGAGAGGACGCTTCAGTGCGACCTGCTCGTGTACAACTCTGCCAGCAGTGCCTGCGAAAAAGCTGCAGCCTCTCAGCTAGTCTAAGCATCTGGTGTTTCGGTGCTTCAGGTCTTAAGGCTGTGCTACTTAGGGTCTAGGCTTTGGGGCGTAGGAAGATTTTGTTATTTGAGGTTACTCTGAACGCTGGGCCATATTCTTGGTGCCTGCTTAAAGGCAATGTGAAGTAACAGTATCATGTTGCAGGTGGTACTTGGACCCTAAGAAACCTGCAACTTTAGGGCTCTTTATGATGATTTCCTTATTCTATGAGTCCTTAAGAAGGTAGGTTGTCTGGGGTCTAGGCCTTATGCTTAAAGTTGGGCTCGGAGCTCTTGGACTCAAGATGAGCTTTAAGCTGAACCTCGCCGACTTTATCCAGGTTCCGCGAGATGCGTGTGGCTTCTAGAGCTGAGGGCTGCGTTAATATAGGGGCCTCAATGATTACCTATACTATGTTAGGGGTTCCTTACTATAGTTACAGTATCTCATACACCAAAACCCTATTCTACTCATACTATTTTGGGGGTTCCTTTTTATAATTATAGTATAATATACCCCAAAACCCTGTTATAATTATTAGTCTTAAGGCCCCTACATTAGTCGCTTTCACCCCCTGCCTTAAGCCCAAGGCCCTTGAGGAGCCTACTAGAAGCATTTGTCGTTGCCAGGTCTCCATAGCCTGAAGTCACTGAAGGGTTTAGCGTTTGGGGTTTAGACTAAAGCACGTAAACCTGAACCCAAAAGCCCTAAAATCAAGGAGCCCGTATTTCGACGGTACCCTTACAGGAACCTGTAAACATACCCAACTTCAAGGAACCGGAGCCTTTAGAGTGGCCTTTGTAGTGACCTGGAAAAGCCTCGGAGCCGGCAAGGAATGGCAGTACGCGGTGGCTTTGCTGGAGCAGTCTCGCGCGAAGAGTCTCCGAGCAATCCGACCGAAAAAGCGGTTGTTGCAAGTTGCAAGGTTGTGGGCTTAGGGTCTAGGGCTACCGTACTCTACACGCATTCTAGATGGGCTCCTGCAAGGGCTTTGGATTGAGTTTAGGGGTTTGGGCTCGAGGTTGAGACTCTTGAATCCCAAGATCCTGAACAGCCGACAGCCGACACTTCTATTCGCTAAGCCGGCTGGGTGGTTTCGGATTTTAGGGGTTGGGGCTTAAGGTTTAGGGTTACGGGTTTGGTTGGTTAGTTTGGTGGAGGTTAAGGTTTACCGCTTGAAGGAATTGGGGGTCTCCAGCCGTCAAGATACAGTACCCTTCTTGTCAAGGCTTAGACATTGGATCCTCATAGTGTAAGGGTCCCTATACTGCTGTAGGATGATATGCATGTTCATCAAATCGCCCGAAACCCTGTTCAAGTAGCACACCGCTGTTATTGGTGACCCGATACCCGCAAAATCCACATCCATCCTACATGCTGTCAGGTAGATCTGATCTCGTTCAATGCTGGCATCAGTGCCTGTGCGTCACCTGGACAGGCAAAGAACGCGTTGCGAACAGTTTGTGTTGGCGTGGTTGCTCTGCTTTACCAGTTTTGATGTTACCTTCATAATAGACCTTTATAGGTTATGGGCCATTATGTTGCTTACTTTTCGGAGTTTAGGTATCGGCCCTATAAGATTCTGAGCACTGCCGAGCCCGGCCGTGGCTCCGCTAGTGCACAAAGTGAAGGGGTCAGATTGGTGGCAGAGAACAAACAAGCAGAATTCTGTTCGCCTCCGATACACCCTACATGCAACATTAACAGCAGCCTTGCAAACCCCTAAACGCACACCCCTATGGAATTTGTGGGGTCCCAGGAATGCAGGCTGCTGGCAACAGGCTCTGCTGCTCTTCAGCTCCTTGCAGCAAAGTGGCCTCACGCCAGACACCGTGACTTAGAGGCGTTTTAGGGTTGAGGGTTTAGGGTTGTAGGTCACCGTCACTTAGAGGCGTTTCAGGGTTGGGGGTTTAGGGTTTTAGGCCACCGTGACTGAAAGGCGTTTGGGCTTGAGGGTTTAAGGCCTTGTTTGTAGGGTTTGAGGGTTTTGGGTTTAGGGCGTTAGGGTTTAGGATTTCAGTCTGAGGGTTTCTGGTTTCAGGCTTCGGGTTTTGCAGGTGCATTCTTTTGGGGTTCATAAGGGTTCAGGGTCTAAGGCTCAGGGCTTGTTCTGGGGTTTTCCAGATTCGGGGCTCAGGTTTTGGGGTTTTCCAGATTCGGGGCCGCAGACTGGGGACTTGTGTTGTTCGCAAGCCTTACGGCTCAGGGGTTTAGGGTTTAGAGTTTAGGGTTTAGGGTTTAGGGTTTAGGGTTTAGGGTTAGTCACGGAGTCTCACCACCGAGGTGACTCGCAATGCCCTCACCAATGCCTTCGACAAGGCCAGCCAGCAGCTTGTCTCAAAAGCGGGAAAGGTAATTAACACGGTAACGCAGTTGACATAAATTTCGACATTAAATCATGCACGTGAACGAAACATGATGCTGGAACTCGGTTCGAATATACTTTCTACATTGCGGTGAACTGTCCTTGACTTTTCGCAAAAACGATTTGCGAAATCCGCTCACGAAATGCTGCTTCGACGGTTTATCGGGGCGAAGCTGTCCTTGTGTAATACAGCGTCCTAGCAGTAAGTTCTTTTCATTGGAGGCCCTTCATGTCATGTTCCTACACATCTCAGTTTCGGTGTTCTAGTTTCCGAGTTCGTCAGACACGATCCCGCTGCACCATGCGCGACGAAGGACATGGCTTCAGGGCGAAAGTGCAACAAACCCTACCATAAGCCCCAGACCCTAAACCCTAAACTCCAGACCCTAAAACCCCAAGGGCCAGGGGACCGTCCAAGCGCAAGGTGGCAGCGGGCATTGAGCCAACTCTCGGCCAGCAGCAACATCGTAGCCTTTGGTGCTGTGGTGAGCGCCTGCGCCAGGGGCCCAGGGGTTCTGTCGAAGAGAAGGTAGCCCGGACCCTCCAATGTCCTTATACTCAGGGAATATACTTTAAACCATCTTAGCGACCCTACGAAAATTGAGATATGTATGTATGTATGTATGTATGTATGTATGTATGTATGTATGTATATCTGTATATCCCTTAAACAAGGGATATCAAAAACGTTTGGGTAGCCAATGGCTATTTTTGTTTCTATCGTGGAAAGTGACATATCACGTGAACCCTCTCGCAGTTCTTCGGCCGCCCCTTCAACGAGACCCCTCATCCCGAAACCCCAGAATCCGTAAAACAGTAAGTCAGAACCCGACCCTGAGGGTCCATGTATTCATATAGCACATACATGGGCCCTAAAGTACCTATATAGGGACTACATTAAGGCCAATGTATATACTATATGAGCACATGGACCCTTAGGGCTATACACCCGAGGCTCTTCGTAGTATCAGTGCCCGCAAGCGTAACTCCTACGAAGCCAAAGCCGCGAAACCTCAACACTAGACGCCTCATAGGGCCCTTAGCCTTAGCACAACTGTATAGAAGCCCTAAGCCCTATTCCCTGAACTTTAAACCCTAAACCCGAAACCATGAAGCCGGTTTAATTTGCTTCGGGTTTTGTGTGTGTTTGGGTGCAGTGTGGGGGACTGGTGCAGCTGCCCAAAGCCTCAGCCAAATTGGCATTCGACCTAACTTACAAGGCGGGTGGAAAAGAGGTGACAAAAAAAAACATGAAGCCCGAAACCCTAAACCCTAAACCCTAAACCCCAAACCCTCAAGACCCGAAGAGAGAGACCTTAGAGCCTCCCAGGCCGAGGCGCGAGAATGGCAACAAGCGCTGTCTCTTCTGCACGAGCCTCTGGGCAAGAGCTTGGGGTTTAGGGTTTAGGGTTTAGGGTTTGAAGGGTTTTGGGTTTTAGGGATTCAGATCTTACGATACATATATATATATACACACATACAATACATATTGGATCCTATTTTTGGGGGAGGGGGTTACACATAGGACCAGGGTTTCTTAATCGGCTTCCTATGCATTAGCGTTCAAGAGTGCGGTGGACGTTGAGTGACTCGCAATGTCATGTTTGGCAGCTTCGGAGAGAAGCGGCGGGTGAGGAGGGATGTTGCATCCCTTCACACGAGCACAGGAATTACCGAGTCGTGTATTTGCACACACAGCTTCGGATTATTGGGTCGAGTCGAGCTTCTTGTGCTGGGTACATGTTCACGTCCGCGAATGCAAACCTCTGCGCAAGTAACTTCAAGAACCCTGCATAAGTCAGCTGCGGCTTTGAGGACCCCGTTCCAGATGCTCCACCCTAGACCCTAAACCCTAAACCCCTAAACCCTACACCCCTAAACCCCTAAACCCTACGCGCGCATGAGGCTTCGGAGACGCACCGTGCGCAGCAACACCATCCTCTGGAATTCGTCTCTGACTGCTTGTGAGAAGGCGGGGTTAGGAGGTTAGGAGTTTAGGGTTTAGGGTTTGGGGGGTCTAGGGGTTTAGGGTTTAGGAGTTAGGGTTTTGGGTTTGGGGGATCTAGGGGTTTAGGAGTTTCCTGGCGGGTTTTTTAGGAAGCAGGCGATGGTTCGGGCTCTGTAACCCTACGGAGTCAGAAGTACCGAATGATATGAGAGATACTCACCCAGACCTGAATACTAATTGCTGCGGTAGAGACCCCATTGTCTACGATGCAGGCACTCTCACCTAGGAAGGATCTATTTGTTTTTGTTTCTCTCTCTCTCTCTATAGGCACTCTATCTATAACTATAGGCAATCTATATGCAATATGCAAACATGTACGAAACCAAGCTTGTGTGAAACAAGCCAAGCAGATGACATGCAAAGTACCTGAACCTTTGCGGGGGTCTGCGGGCTAAAGCTTCAGACCTCCTCGAGTCCTTGTTGGACCAAGCGTCTCAGTCCTTAGCCTAAAGAATGGGCTACTGGGCTTCGTATTATGGCCCAAAAAATGGGGTACTGGGCTTTGTATGATGGCCTAAAGAATGGGTTACTGGGCTTCGTATTATGGGAGTATTATCGAATGTTTTGCTGCGCTGGTTGCTTCTTTGGCAAGACCCAAGCACGGTGGAGTCGACATGCTTCGCACACAGATACACTGTGCAGGATAGCCACTACTTTTCTACGTTTTGCGTAATATACCCCTAAATGTCAATGATTCGATCCCTCCCCCCAAGCCAAAGACTGTGCTGCGCGGGAGAGAAATATTGGATCCTCGCGGAAGCAGTCAACCCTAGCAGCGCAGGGCGAGCAATGGCAGCTTGCGCTGCATTTGCTTGGCTCAATGGATAGCTGCTTGACTGCTTTGATCCTGCGTGCTCATGTGCCGTGGTGAGGCGTTTAGGGGCGAGTGGGCCGTTTGTGGAGCCTTCGTGGTTGATTGTGGTATTAAACTAAGCTACGATAATAAGGAAACCTTCTTATTTGCTGTGTAGGATTCTCAATCGGGCCACTTAATTTAAACTAGACAAGTTCCTTAACACCTATAGTCTCCAATGTAGTTTCTTGTTTTGGTTTAACCAAATTTATATCAAGGCTCCTAAAAGGTAACCTCCAGAAGGACCTACAACCCTAAACCCCCAAACCTGCAACCCTAAACCCTAAACCCCTTATAAACCCCTAAACCCTAAACCCTAAACCCTACTCTACATCTAAAACCCTATTCTACATCTACAACCCAGAACAACCTGAGCTCCGACCCGGAACTGCTAACCGATGGACCCCGCCTCGAGGCTCTGCTCTGCAAAGGACCGGCAGACTCTTTGGGGATCTTAGGGTTTAGGGGTTTAGGGTTTAGGGTTTAGGGTTTTTATCTTTGGGACGCTTCCAGGGGGTTCAGAGTGTCATGATTAGGGGTTTAGGGGTTTAGGGTTTAGGGGTTTAGGGTTTAGGGTCTAGGGGTTTAGGGTTTAGGGTTTATATAGGGTTTAGGGTTCAGGAGGGTTTAGGGTTTGGGGTTCAGGGTGCAGGATTTGGGCGGTCTGCGGCTTAGGTCCAGGGGTGTTTAGGGTCTGGGGAGTGAGGTTACGAGCAGGGATTCTCAACGTTCGGGCTTCGGGAGGGGACGGTCTCTGTCTTGAGGATCATATGCTACTTAGGATCTACGTTGGGATCGCTGCGGGCACAGATTGAAAGGCCCTGAGAGGCAGGCGATGATTTCTTAATCAGGATCTGTGTGTATCCCTTTCTGTCGCATCCGACTTAGGCACACCATTGCCATTGTTGTTGAAGGTGTGGATTTCGACGTTGTGTTGAAGCGTGTGGCTTGTTTGGAAGGGTTTAGGATATTGGTAGAAGTATTTGGCGTTACCCTAAACCCTAAACTTTTAAGGGGTTTAGAGTCTAGGGGGAGGTCATTCCAAGGAGGGGGATTCTGACTGTTAGACTTTCGGCGCCAGAACATGAAATTTACCTATAGTCTCCATTGTAGTCCCTTTCCTGGTTAACCAATCTTATGGTTAGGATCCTAGAATACAAACTTGGTCAACCAAACAAAAGAACTACAACGGAGACTATAGGTAACCCCTAAACCTATAGAAACCCTTATAGATCCCTGTAAAGAACCCCTAAACCTATAGAAACTTTTATAGATCCCTTCAAGGAAGCCCATAAACCTATAGAACCTTGTCGATCCCCTTAAGGAACCCCTAAACCTATAGAAACCCTTATAGATCCCTCTAAGGAACCCCATAGAAATCCTTCTAGATCCCTTTAAAACGAGACCCTGATAGATCCCTTTAAGGAACCCCATAGAAACCCTGATAGATTCCTTTAAGGAACCCCATAGAAACCCTGATAGATCCCTTTAAGGAACCCCATATAGAAACCCTTCTGGATCCCTGTAAAGGGACCTTATGGAAACCTTTATAGATTCCTTTAAGGAGCCCTTTTTAGACGTAAAAAAGCCCATGGCTGCAAGCCGGGCCTCAGAAGGTCGGACGACTGCCGGCCACAAGGGCCGTGGGTTGAGTTGTTTTTTGTTTTTAAGCCTTTTCAGGGAGCTTGATTGGGTTTAGGGTTCAGGGTTTAGGGTTTAGAGGTGTGTCGTGCCCACACTGAACCCCTAAGCCCCTCAACCCTAAACAGGGATCCAGCACAACGGCAATTTGTAGTTCGCCAAAGTCGCTCAGCTAGTCGCTCGACATGTCTTGCTTCGGAACTCGCCGTGGTCGTCCGGTGCTGAAGCGGTCTAAGTCTGAGTAAACTGATCACGGGATCCCTAAAATCCAGCCTTCTGACTTCAAGCCGATACCCTGGTGAATCCTGATTCCAAATACTTCTGAAACCCTAAACCCTATAAACCCCGACGCCACTCCGTGACCCCAAACTCCAGAGGACACGGGTCAGTTTCAATGCTGCCATCTCCGCCTTCGAGAAGGGCAACACCTGGCTGCAGGCAGATTCTGCCGTGCACACTCTCCCCAAAGGAATTCTCTCAGTCTGGCTTAGTTTACGGTCTAGGGTTTTAGGGTTACTGTCTTGAGGTTTCAACTATTCGCTCCTAGCCTCATTGTATATTGAGCTTTGCGTGCGCGACTGCGATCTCAACTTGTTGAAGCCGTTATTAGACATCAGTGCGATGAGCACTACGAACGTGAGTACGGTGAGACTACTCCTCAGACGGTTAAGTATGACCGTGACCACGCACATGATGCATCTGAACATTGCTTCTAACAGTTGCGAACAGCTCGCACTCAAACACGATGGAACCTAAACTCATAGCCCTGAAGCTTACATTGGGGGGGGGGCCCGATTAGCAGTAAGCTTACTTAACATATCGGTTTGGGAGCCCCTCTCTTCTCAGTATGACCATAAACGTCCTGGTTTCCCGTGCAATGCACGCAGGAAGCATTGAGGGTGCAGGCCTAGGTAGCTCCAAGCCACTGTCGTTTACAAAAGCCCATACACTAAAACCTTTAAGTTCCAACACCTTGTAAAGACCAAGGCACCAAGCACCACATAAACCTCCAAGTCCCAGCAACCTCAAATCCTAAACCTCTCTTACCACTCTTCAAGGAACCCTGTTCGTCAATTTGAAGGCATCCTTCTTAAAGCTCAGAGTCTTGAAAGGAACCCATAAGGGAACCCTATTCTGCATGTTTTTCGTTAATCTAGGGGCCTAAATAATCACCGATATTATTCTTGAGGGGCTTCCTTACTGTATAATTATAGTATAATGGGCCCCAAAACCCTATTCTAATTATTAAGGCCCCTACATTACGGCTCTTTGTAATTTCCTGCCAGGCCGTCCGCTTCGTAGGTCTCCTACAGGAGACTTCTGTCCAGGCCTTCTTTGGTCTCAGGGTTTAGGGTTTAGGGGTGAAGAATCACCAGTAGTGAAGTAGTGTTCCTCAGGGTTAGGTGCTATTACTTTGAATACAGAGATAGATGTACTTACATGAATATGTAGCATATATACATGTTGCATAGCTATGTGTGTATATACATCTGTATATATATATATATACACATGTATATATTCGTATACGCACATAAACACCCCAAGACCCCATTCTAAGCAGTAAGGCCCCTACGTTAGGTTTTTGGGGTGAGGGCTTCGGGGTTTCAGGGTTCGCTGTAGGATTTTAGGAGATATGGAGGTTTCTTAGAATCTGGCTTCGTGGTTGGAGTTCAGTGTCCATGGAGTGGGGATTGATGACTTCGAACTTTAAACTCAGGGTTGTTAGTTACAGGGTTTCTTCAAGGGGTTTCATTCGCTTCTATTGCTTGAGGCATGCTACTATGTATTATTTGGGGGTCTCGTGATACTAGGGGTGCCTGATGTCAGGGCCCTTGTAAAGATCCTATGATCTAGGGTTTAGACTGCGGGTGGATTCGGGGACTAAGGGCAGTGACTAGGGCTAAGGGCCGAGGCTCCAGGGTTTCAGGTTGGTGGTTCATGGAGTACCTTAAGAACCTAAAACCAATTTTTTTGTAGGGTCCCTATAAATCCCATATCAGGGTTTATAATAAGAGCCTACAAAAAAGTGGGTTTTGGGATCTTAAGGTAGGGTTGAAAGGCGGATTCCATTTCCTACATCGCCGCGATCAGTGCAGCTGAGAACCCTGGCTGCACCACTGGAGCCAATGATTCTAGGGGCTTTAGGAAGGACCCTTAATAGGGACCCTTGTAGGTTATTGGGGTTAACAGGGAGACTACCTGGCTATATAAGGGGTATATGAGGACTACGCAATGGTTATTAAAGAATCACGGCCCTCAAGAAAACCGACCTCATAGAGGTTTCCTAGGATTGGGGATTCAGTTTTCAGACACGCCTGTTGGCCGCATAGGCTACAGATAAGGCAAGACTGTGCAAGTTATAAAAGGACAAACAGCAACGACCGCTGAGGGTCCGGGAACCTAAACCCTAAACCCCAAACCCTGACTGAAGGGCAGATAGAGTACCTAGATGCCGTGAGTGTTTTTTCATTCTTGGCTGTTCCTTTCTCGGGACGGCCCAACGTGCACGCTCCCAGAAAGGGAGCCTCTGCGCATGCTTGGAGTATGGAGACAGGCGACTGCGCATGAACAAAAAATGGAGCCTAAACCCCTAAGTGCCGTGAAATCCCTGGTCGCTCCGACACTAAACCCTAAAACCTAAACCCTTGACCTGTAGCGGAATGGAAAAGAGGTCTCAAAAAAAACCTAAACCCCTAAACCCCTAAACCCTCTAAACCCCTAAACCCTCTAACCAAGGAAGGGAGGGCAATGGAACCCTGCCTTGCATCTCCTGGACGAAGTGGACAAGAACTCTCTCGAGGCGCAAGCCACGAGGCTTAAAGTTCAGGGTTTTAGGGTTTAGGATTTTAGGGTTTAGTGTTTCAGGGTCCCTCAACCCTACACCTTAAACCCGGTTTAGGTGGTAGGGTTGGAGTTGTATGGTTCAGGCTTTGGGTGTTTCTGACAGTTTAGTGGCTTGCTGCTTCACAAGCTCACTGGTGTCATGGGAGCTCAGCGATTTTTGCCGGGGATTCAGTTGCAGGGTGCACAAGCGTGTGTGCCCTATCTGCCTAGTCAGAGAGTTTTATAGCAGCCTGATCAATACTAGCCTAGATTATTCCTTACGGTTCCTTGCCGTTTTAGTACAGAATATACCCCTAAAGCCTCATTCAAACACTGTTCTGGCCCCTGCATTGCATGCGAGATATTCGTGAGCAGGGTCGAATTCGTGCCTGGTTCTTCGATCCCTCTTACACTGGGCTTTTCCAGATGTGTTTACGATGGCATCGAACAGGCTACAACAAAAAGCCATCACAATAACTACAATAATTAAGCTATAGTAAGCTATAGCACACTCATCAACGCTGCTGCGAGTTTTCGTGTATAAGGTCGTGCTGGGCAAGTATGCATAACCCTGGTCCATGGAAGCACACTGTCCATGAAGCAGATGATCACGCAGCGGTATTTGGCTCAGAGTTTACAGTTTTGGGCTTGGAGTTTAGGAGTTGTTTGTTTTTTGGACTAGTGTTTGCGCCGCCCTTTCCCACCAAGTCTGTCCTATGCCACTTACAGCTGAAGTAAGGAACAGGAATCCAAGACCTACCAAATCTTTATATTCTCAGGTAAGGGGCACTATACCATCGATTAGATGCCTACAGCCAGGTGGGCATCGTCACCTACAACACGGCTTTGGCGGCATGCAAGAAGTCCAACAGCCTGCAAAGGGCTCTACAGGTGTTGGCCCCTCGGATGCCTCGGCTGGAAGGTTTAGGGTTTGGGATTTAGGGTTCAGGGTTCAGATGGGTTCAGGGTTTTCCGTGGAATAGCGCTCAGGTTGTGTCGAGTGCATCGTATTACGGCGGTCTATAGAAGGTTTTTCTTCCTTTCCCACCCCATGCCATCTAATGCGGCCAAGCCACCCGAACCTATTCCTTTGAGGGTTTCGGCCTAAACTCATGCCATCGCGCTTCTTTTTTTATTGGGGCAGTGCAGCAGCAGGGCAGGGCAGTGCAGGGCCGCAGAGTTTGGCCAAGCCCCCCCTACGACTGGCCTGGAGCCCCTTTAGCCCCTGAATTCTCTTGAAGAGGAGAGCATCACTCTACCCAGCCCGTCCCATTTTTGGGGGGGTCCGTGCCCATGCAAACGGCCAGGGCTCAGGCTTGGGGTTAAGGTAATGACGTATGAAGGGACCGGTACTGGTGAGGGGGAGAACGTGTTCCGGTACCGGGTACGACGTGAGGGCTACGGCTGTGGAGAGGGTGGTGGGCCTTTCGCGATCGGCTGCGAGTGGATCAAGCGCCGCCCACCCACAGTAGGTGGGCGGCCTATGCCTTCAGTTTAGCGTTTAGGGTTTAGGGTCAGGGTGGGGTTTGAGGGATGAAGCGTGTCTGTTTTGTCAGTACACGGCTAGGAGATGCAGAGATTGCAGCAAAAAGCAGGTTCAACGGCAAGAAGAACGGAAACAAACAAGCAACCAAGTAGCTAGACCATCCGCAGAAAAGGAACATAACACAATAAATAGACATAGAATCTATGGTACCTTACCTTGTGTATTAGTACTTGTTGTCTTAGAGTAGTATTACTGGCACTAGTAGTAGTAGTAGTAGTANNTAGTAGTAGTAGCAGTTGTAGTAGTGGTAGTAGTAGTAGTAGTAGTAGTAGTAGTAGTGGTAGTAGTAGTAGTAGTAGTAGTGGTAGTAATCGTACTAGTGGTGCTAGTAGTACTAGGAGTAATCGTCGTCGAAGTGATAGCCGAAGTCGTAGTCGAAGGAGTAGTCTTAGGCGTGTAGTAGTAGTCGTAGTAGTAGTAGTAGTAGTAGTAGTAGTAGTAGTAGTGGTAGTGGCAGTGGTAGTGGTATGGGTTGCGGTTGCGGTAGCGAGTGGTGGTGGCCTTAGTGGTAGTTGTAGTGGTAGCGGTGGTAATGGTAGCGTAGTAGTGTTGTAGTCGTCGTCGTCGTCGTAGTAGTAGTAGTAGCAGTAGTAGTAGTAGTAGTAGTAGTAGTAGTAGTGGTAGTAGTGGTAGTGTAGTAGTCGTAGTGGGGGAAGTGGGAATAGGAATAGGTTTAGGCATATAGCTGTAGTAGAAGTCAAGAATCAAGATTCACCACTGGCAACTGGACATGGTACCACGATTTGGCACATTGTTGCCAAGAACAAACACGACCATGGCATAAGCTCACTGACGCGATCTGTCCTGGACATGAACAGCTGGGTTTCGCGCTAGTCGTCGCCATAGAAGTTGACAGGTAGCCATTCAAACTGGTTGCTTGCAGGCCTCCTGCCGATGGAGGGTCATTTCTGGATCCCTTCGCGGCACAATTTGTCTGACTGCTTCCTTTCAGGCATACGCGACCATGTCGTGTGGTTGATGCGGTCTTGCCGTGACCATCATCGTTGTCATCCAGCTGCTAACATCAGCACCACCATCATCCTCGATGCTGCATCACCAATTTTAGTTGGTGGGCTTCTGCCCTGTTTAAATTTCTTGTAATATAGAATAGTATGTGTTGAAGCAATGGCAGCGGCCTATCAAATATCAGAGTTTTGCGGTTACGGTGTTGGGATCGTTGTTTTTTTGGGAGTTTATGGCCCGGGATTAGTGTTTCAATTGTTTGGGATTTAAAGCAGTAGTCTCAGTCGCCGTAATCGTGGCAGTAGTAGTAATAATAGTAATAGTA